AAATGTAAATACACTGATTAGCACTGATTTAGGTCAAGATTTTTATACCCACAGCCTTGTGTGGGTATAAAAATCTTGACCTAAAAATTACTGTAATTTTCTTTTCAAACCAGCTCATTTCGTCCAAAAATTGTACATAACATTTTTGCAACACCTTAAAATTTTTACAAAGTCTTTATATTGATGAAAGGTGGGACTTATTGGTCCATTCCTTTACTTACCTGCACCACAAAGAGTCAAAATTAAACCAGTAAGGAAAGTAGTAAAGTCGGACGGGGCCGACTATATGATACCCTTCACCACTATGGGTATATTAAACAGGACTATTAACATGAAATTGGATGAAATAAAATATGTGATATTTATCTAAATTTGAATCTACCTAGATCTATCCATAAACATGTCATTCGTTTGTTACAATGGGACAAAAGTATGTAAATCGACTTCAAACAAATATAATTAGGTCATCCATTGGGCTATATCTGTATTTCTAGAAAACGCAACTACGTAATTATATGCTCAATTTTGTAAGTTGTGCAAAATTTGATGTTAATCTGACTAACATGAGCAGTTTGATTCCCAATTTACTTGAAATCGGGCGAAATATATATATGGAAGTTTTATCCAAATATTAAGCAATTTCAAACAAACTTGTCACAGGTTAGGTTATACTAATTTCAGAACGTTTTGTTCCTATTGGTTCCTTGGTGCGTCAATTACTTAAAATCAATCTATAATAAAAGGGAGCTATATCTAAATCTAGGCCGATTTTCACGAAACAAGGCAGATATCACTCTAGGCTCAATTCAGTACGTTATGCCAAATTTCGTGCAAATCGAAGAATATATAGAGACTTTGGTGCACCATTTACATGAAATCGGACGAAACTATATATGGAAGTTATATCTAAATCAGAACCCATTTTCACGAAACAAGGCAGACATCACTCTAGGCTCAATTCAGTACGTTGTGCCAAATTTAGTGCAAATCGAAGGATATATAGGGACTTTGGTGCACCATTTACATAAAATCGGACGAAACTATATATGGGAGCTATATCTAAATCTGGACCGATTTTCTCGAAACTTGGCAGACATCATTCTAGACTCAAGTCAGTACGTTATGCCGAATTTCGTGCAAATCGAAAGACATATAGGGATTTTGGTGCACCATTTACATAAAATCGAACGAAACTATATATGGGAGCTATATCTAAATCTGGACCGATTTTCTCGAAACTTGGCAGACATCATTCTAGACTCAAGTCAGTACGTTATGGCAAATTTCGTACAAATCGAAGGATATATAGGGACTTTGGTGCACCATTTACATGAAATCGGGCGAAACTATATATGGGAGCTATATCTAAATCTGGACCGATATTCTCGAAACTTGGCAGACATCACTCTAGGCTTAATTCAATACGTTATGCCAAATTTCGTGCAAATCTAGACCTAAATGATTAGGCTGTACCAAATTTCGTGCAAATCGAAAGATATATAGGGACCGTTTACATTAAATCGGTTAAATATATATATGGGAGCTATATCTAAATCTGAACCGATTTTTCCCAATTTCAATAGGGTTCGTCCTTGGGCCAAACAAATGAGCTGTGCCAAATTTCATCCAATTCGGATGATAAATGCGACCTGTACTTTGTTTACAATTTAACATGGACAGACAGACGGACGGACGGACATGCATAAATCGACTTAGAAAGTGATTCTATGCATATTCTCAAAAGGAACCATGTGTCTATCTCGTTTCCTTTTGCCTGTTACAAACATATGCACAAAGACATAATACCCTGTACCACAGTGTGGTGAAGGGTATAAAAAGACCAATATTCGGCGAAAAGAATGTCCGATTTGACCACAGGGTCGAAGATGGTGCCCATCGGTCCACTCCTTGTGGTACTTCCCCTACGAAGTGTCAAAATTTTCAGTATTTATAAATCCAAAATTAAGCCAATGAAATGTCCGATTGGCCAAACTCTGAACATTGTCGTATTTTTACCAACTAGAAATCAAGTTCGAAGATGGGACCCATCGGTCCGTTCTCCCTTCTTGGGCAATATTTTTCTAAAATACTATGTTTGAAGGCCCACTGTAGGCGTGGATTAAAAATATATATTTTTTTCAAATCACACTATAAGCTTGCATTTTTTAATAAATAATTTTTCAAGGACCACTAAAAGGCGTGGAATTGTTTTAACAATATTTTTTAGGACCACTAGGCGTCAACATAGGCAACGGTCAACATAGGCGTGGACTTTCTAAAATCACAGAAAGGCGTGTATTTATTAAAGAAAGTTTTTTAATTTTTTTTTCAAAAATCACATAAAATCGTTGATTTTTTAATGAGTTTTTTTTTAAGAAATATTTTTTCAAAACTCACAAAAACGCGAGGATTGTTTTAATGATTTTTTTTTATAAAATCACAAGAAGGCGTGGGTTTTTTAAAAAAAATTTTTTAATATAAAAATCACAAGAAGGCGTGGATTTTTTAAAGAATTTTTTTTTATTAAAAAATATTTTTTCAAAAATCTCGTGGATTTCTTAAAGAATATTTTTTAAAGGTATTTTTTTCAAAAACCGCAGAAATTATGATTTTTTTATGAATATTTTTAAAAAATCACAGAAAGAATTTAAAGAATATTTTTTCAACGACCACAGACAGGCGGGGATTTCTAAAAAAATATTTTTTCAAGGACCACAGACTGGCGTGGATTTTTTAAGGACCACAGACAGGCGTGAATTCTAAAACAATATTTATTCAAGGACCACAAACAGGCGTGGATTTCTAAAAAAATATCAAAGACCAAAAAAAAAATTTTTCAAGGATCAGGCTAGAATTTTTGAAAAATAATTTTTCAAGGATAATTTTTCACATGTAGCATTTCATATTTTTAAATATGTTGACATAGTATGTCGAAATAGCTAGACTTCTTATCATATGATACCAATTTTGTAAACATACGAAAAATATTTCAAAAGTTATGCGACAAAAATCAGGATATTAACCCTTTCTGTGTTTTTGTCGAATATATTCGACATTTAAAAGTACTGGCTTTCTGCGATTTTTCGGTTATCTGTTGATTGATTGTTACTATTGATGTTTTTGTTTTTGCTGAAAGACAGACGAACCTGGCCGATGGTTAAAATGAAAATTGCTATTTTTACTAAACTCTGTACCTTTACATGATCTTAAATACAAAATTTTAGATTTTAATTCCGACAAAATTTTTTTTTTGGACAGAGAAAGGGTTAAATTTTTCATTTTTGAAATTTCGAAAAATCAATGTTTTGGTCTGAGAAATGCTTAAAAGATTCTCTATTTATGCACAATTATTTCGTCCCGGACAAATCGCATGGAATGCTCCGAATTAACGCTTCATATTATTTTGTAGCAGGGACAATCACAAGACATATTATTTTGTAGCAGACAATCAGTGAGTTTTAAGCTGCTTATAATCACAACGCCATCTATCGATGCAGTCAACTGAAATGTAATTTTCTGGTATTTTTCCCATAACTTTTGAACAGAAGGAGGTATTTTATTAAAATTGTGGTCATATGAAAGCTAAGATGTCTATTTCGAAATTCACTCGTATTTCATAAATTTAAGCCTTTTTAGGTGAACATTTTCTTGAAAGATACGTTTGTAATTTGTCCCTGTAAACCAGATTTAAAAATTAATTTTGCCTTTTTTCTAATAAGAACACTTAATATGACACCTTAATTGTGTTACTAGATCGGTAGGTGAAAAAGTCGAGACAGTTCTTGATAAAATAAAACAAACCAACAAAATACTTTACCTAATTTTCCTCAAATAACAAAAATACATTTACAATTAAAATCATAAAAATTATTTCTTTTTATTTATATAATATCTGTTTTTTTTGTTTGTTTACAGTTTTTTTTTTTTGTAATTTTAAATATATAACACACATATATACATATTCATATATGTATTTTTGTTGTTGTAGTATGCGATTTTAAGTAAATTCGTTACTTAAGATTAAATAATTTGTGTTTTAATTCCTTTTTGTGTAAATAATGCATAGAAAAATTAACGATTTCTATTGCTAAACAAAGTGTAATGAAATTGAATATAATTAGTATTGAATTTCTATAATTATATAGAAAGAAAATGATAAATCTCTAAATAAAATTTATAATTAATAATGACAAACTAAAACTTAGATAATTCTTAAGAGTGTTGTTGTAATAACGAATAATTTGTTTTAAAAATTAAAAATAAACTAAGTGGAGTTTCTTGTTTTGTGTTAAGTATTTTGTTGTGGTTTTAGAAACTATGGCTAAAAAAATTGTTTTGTTTTGTTGTTTTTTTATAAAGTAAACTGAGGTAGCATTCTTCTTCTTCATCGTATTTCTTCTTAACAACTATCTACATAATTTTTATATTTATTTTTTCATTTGTGACAGTTTTTTTTATTTTTTGTAACAAAATTTGAGTTTTTTACAAAATTAAATATTAAAATTGTTTTATATGTGGTGTTTTTGTTTTGTAAAAAATACTGTCTTGGCACATGTTTATGGGGGCTTTTCATGGTATAAAAATTAACGAAATCTCTTTTTGCCATTTCTTTGAATAAAATTTTCAATTAAATGAATAGTTTAACAAAAAAAAAATGAAAAAAGATTTTATTTTAATTCAAAAGGAATGTGCTATTTTATGCAAGTATTTTTTGTTATTAGGTTTGAAAACTAAAACTAACGATTTCTTAAATAATGGGTTATAAGAAAAAATAATTATTTTTTTAATAGAAAAAAGTTAAGAATTCTTTTTACAATAAAACGAGCGCAGCTCTGGGTTTAAAGTAAAGAACTTAAATTACAAGAAACTGCCAAAGAAAATAATTATAACTAATTTTTTTAGTTTAGTTTAGGTTTTGTTTTTTTAAAAATATATATGTATAACACAATTTAACAAATTATTAACCGCTCTGTGGGACCTGCGAAGTCCTTCGAAAGCGTTTTAACAATGAGAAGAGCACAGGAATCTCTGGAAGCGAAAACAAGTTACCGTTCTTGTTAGACAGAGTTATGTGCTCAAACGTTTACTGGCGTATTCTTGGAGCTTTTGCAGGGCCAGTGTCTTGTTGATCTCGACCAAATCACGACTGTATTTGGCTGCTTGTAATTGCACTTCGAGTATGCGCATGCGCATCATGTGTTCTTTGCATTGCATATCCATAAAGGCCCGCAACTCGGGGGAACTTTCACCAGCCAAGGGTTTGGAGGAAGAATTCAATGATGAGGTGGTGGCCAGATTTAAGCAGCTACCGCTGGTGTTTTGTTGGGTATCACTCAAGTCCAAATCACCGGCCACCGAACCGCTGGAACCACCACCACCATTTCCACCAGAACTACCAATACCCGAGGTACAGGGTCTCTTTGCTGGTGGTGACTGATTGTCTAGATCACGATCTTGTTGATTTTGGGCGGCCTGTTGTTGGGCCTGTTGCTGGGCCTGCTGCTGAGCTTGTTGGTGTTGTTGATGGGCGGCGGCAGCAAAGTTGTTTTGTAAGGCGGCGGCGGCCGCAGCTGCTGCTGAGGGGAATTGTCCAGTACGCAGGGCATTCAAGGCTTCCAAGGTGGCTGAGATGTTGTTCATGTTGAAACCAGGTTGGAAACCGGACAAATCACTGCCACCCTGGGCCATAAATGCGGCTGGTCCGGCTACACCGCCATGATGATCACTACCACCACCATTTGTGGATAAATTTGTGGGGCTGTGTCTACCCGATGATTGATCCAAATCGTGGGAGCTATGATGTTGTTGTTGCTGCTGCTGTTGTTGGGGTGAGGTGGCACTTAAACGTTCCCCATTCGACATCATGTGGGAATAGCTTTCATTCAATGTTTCATCTTTAATATCGATGTCACACAAATCCTGTGGTGGGGTACGACTGCTACTTTTGTAAGGAAGAAAAGAAAAGAGAGACAAATTAGGACCCTTTTTAAAATGAATAGCTCATTAAAAATACTTACTCATCCATATCATGATCATCATTATTTTGTTCAGCATCCTCACGATATTCAAAATCCTCCTCCAAGGCCAAGGGTATTTTCGAATAATCAATACCATCCAAGGCCTCCGATTTGCAGGCCTTTTTGGCTTCTTGCATGAATTCCCATACCTCAAAGGTAAAGGGTGAGGGCTTTTTGCGATCAGCTACCTCTGGGCCGAAACGGGCCAAACGATTATTGTAATCCAATATTTCATTACGGGTACAGGCTGTAAGGAAATATAAAAATTAGTACTCTTCCAATACCAATAGTTTTTTTTCTATCTTGTTACTTACCTTTCATACGACGCCATTGTTCCTTTAAACGATTGCACGTACGATCTGTGCCAAATTGATTTGAAAATTTCTGATGTATTATTTTCCATGCTTTGTTCTTAACCGCTGTCAGTCCCGCATCTAAACGTTTATTTTCAATAATGCGCATATCCTTGCGACACAAATCCAAAAGGAATTTCTTTTCCTGATGATTCCAATTTTGGGTACGTTCTCGTTTTTTGTACATGTTCATGGTGGGACTGTTCAAATATTGTTGCATTTCTGTAAAGAGAATAGAAAAAAATGTTTATTAGTTTAATTTCAGGTGTTTGGGTCTTGAGGATAGATATAGATACCCTGTATTAAATTCATATCATTGCAAAAATTCACAAAATTAAATATGGGAAAATTCTTTACTTCCATTTTAAATTAAAATGAATATTGTTTGTTGTTGTTATTGTTTGGCTTTGTTTAGAAAGCAATACTAACTAGATGAGAAATTAAAATTTGAATTTAATTAACCAATAGCTGAAGTATTTGAAAATGTGTTTTTGTGTGAAAATTTGAAAAGAGAGAACTCTATTTAGATTGAAGGGGAAAATATGAAGTAGGAAACCCTACACTACTATTCACACTCACATGCTAGGCACTAAAGACTTTAAGAGGGAATGATTTTATAAAAGAGTGGGAATTTAGATTAATTCATCTTCATTGCATGCCTAAAAGTATGCAATATTATTTTGTTAAGCATTTAAATAAAATCAAAATGTATCGGGCATTTTCTTATAAGAATGGAAGTCCTTGGCGAATATATTAGTGATGATTTTTTTGCTGGTAACTAAAAAGTTTAAGCATTTATAATCCGATTTGGATAAAATTTGGTTCCGTTCATTTATTTGGCCCCAAAACGAACCCTATATATTTACGTCCGATTTTATGTAAATTGTGCATCAAAGCACCTACATTTCTTTCGATTCCCACGAAATTTTGCACAGCATACTGAATTAACACTAGAATGAAATGTGCTAAGTTTCGTGAAAATCGGCCCAGATTTAGATATAGCTCCCATATATATTTTCTTCCGATTTTACGTTAATAATGCACCAAAGTCCCTATATATCTTTCGATGTCCACGAAATTTGACATATCACAAGTCAAGAATGATATCTTTCGATTTGGACAAATTTTGGCAATTGAGTTTAAAATGATGTGTGCTAAGTTTCGTGAAAGTCGGTTCAGATTTAGATTTAGCTCACATATGTATTTTCGTCCGATTTTATGTAAATGGTGCAACAAAGTCCCTTTATATCTTTCGATTTCCACGAAATTTGGCATAACGTACTGAATTGAGTCTAAAATGATGTGTGCTAAGTTTTGTGAAAATAGGTTCCGATTTAGATATAGCTCCCATATATATTTTTGTCCGATTTTATGTTAATGGTGCATCAAAGCTCCTATATTTCTTTCGATTTGCACAAAATTTGGCATAACGTACAGAATTAATACTAGAATTATGTGGGCTAAGTTTCGTAAAAATCGGTTTAGATTTGGATATAGATTCCATATATATCTTCGTCCGATTTTATGTAAATGGTGCAGCAAATACCCTATATATCTTTCGATTTGGACGAAATTAGGCATAGCGTACTGCATTGTATCATGATTGACGTGTGCTAAGTTTCGTAAAAATCGGTTCAAATTTGGATATAGCTTCCATATATATTTTGGTAAAGCACCAGGCCTTATCTGAACCAAAAAATATTTTAAAATGTTTTTTTCCAAAATATACCATAGAAATATTCTCTCATTATATCATATTAGTTTGGGAAAAAGAAAGAAATGTCGATAAAATCGGAGAAATTATCGAAGTTGACTGGCATGTTAGCAGTCGTAACATCGCCCTGGAGCTAAAAATCGACCATAAAACTGTTTTAAACCATTTACACAAAGTTGAATTCAAAAGTAAGCTCGATGTTTGGGAACCACACCAATTAACAGAAAAAAATAGGATGTATAGAAGTTCAATCTGCGAAGCCTTGGCCAAACGGAATGATGACCAAACGGATGGTGACTGGAGATGAGAAATGCATCACATACGATAACCCTGTGCGAAAACGGTCGTGGTCAAAAAGCGGTGAAGCACCTCAAATGGTGGCCAAACTAGGACTAACGGCCAGGAAGCTTCTGTTATGCCTTTGGTGGAACTGAAAGGGGATTATTTATAATGTGTTGCTTCCATAGGGCCAAACACTAAATTCTGATCTCTACTGTCAACATTTGGACCGTTTGAAGATAGCAATTGAAAAGAAACGGCCAGAATTGGCCAACAGAAGAGGTGTCGTGTTCCACCAGGACATCGGTAGGTCACGCACATCTACATTGACTCGCCAGAAATTTCGGGAGCTTGATTGGGAAGTTTTACTGCATCCGCCATACAGTCCGCACTTGGCACTAAGCGATTATCATCATTTTCTTGCATTGCAAAATTTCTTTAATGATAAAAAAATTGGTATCTAGGGAGGATTTTGAAAATCGACTACTAAAGTTTTTTGCAAATAGAGAGCAGGACATCTATGAGATAGGCATTATGAAGTTACCCCTTTAAAATGGCTACAAATTATACAACAAAACGGTGCATATTTGACCCAAATCGGATATTCCGAAACATGTTAAATAAAGTCCTATAGGCCATATAAAAATAATGGATTTCTGTTTCCCCAAATTCATATATTCGCTGGATCCTATAAAAAATGTTTCTTCAAAATATTCGCGCGTTTGCTGAACCCAAAAAATATTCTTTATAAATCCCTAAGTCTCTTTGCGACAAAAATATTAAAACAAAAATATATTCCTAATGCATAGTGATTTTCAAACATTGAAAAATAATTTTTTGTTTTTAATTTTTGTCGTTTCATGGATTGTGTTATTATTTTAATCGCGAGCCTAAATGTAGGCAATAATTTAGAGTTTTTTTCTTTATTGATATAAAAAATGTTTTCCATATAAATGACAATTTTTCGTTTACCCATTCACAATTAATACGAAGCATAAAAAATAATTTCCAAAAATCGAGTGACAAAAATGCATACCCCAAAAATATTCTTATTTTAATTGTGAGCCTAAATGTAGGCAATAATGTATAGGTTTTTCTTTATTGAATAAAACTCTTCATTAATCATAATTAATACGAAGCATAATAATTATCAAAAATCGAGTCACAAACAAATGCATGCCCCCAAAAATATTCTTCAAAACCTCAAAAAAATATCCGTTCGACCAAAAAAAAAAAACAATTTTTTTTTAATTTCCCATCTTTGTGTACCACCCACCCAAAAAAATTCTTAAGGATGTCAAGGCCTTAATTGAACCCCCCCAAACAATATTCTTTAATCAATCTCGGCATTTGCTGGTCCCCAAAAAAAAGGAAACGATTATTTGGAAGTCAACTTTTGATTTTAGCCTCAAAGTATGCAACATAAAATTTAAAATATCATTGACTGGGGTAGTTTTTTTTTTGTAAAATTATGTTGAAAACCTCAAAAAAATATTCGTTCGTCCAAGCCAAGGTCCCAAAAAAAAACATAAATAACAATTTCCCATCTTTGTGTACCACCCACTCAAACATATTCTTAAGAATATCAAGGCCTTAATTGGACCCAAATCTCCGCATTTGCTGGTCCCCAAAAAGTAGAATAAAATTTAAAATATCAGTGACTGGGGTATTTTTTTTTTAATACGTATAATTTTTATATTCTATAAGGACAATTCTATTATAACACTTACCTCCTTTAATATCAACTCCTTCTAATAGACTGTGATTTGTGTTTTGCCAATTGGCGGCAGCCAATTTGACAAATGCCTCCAAATCGGTGGCAGAATATTGTTTATTGACCTGCAAAATTAAGAATGAAAAAATAACGCAATTAATAAAAACCCATAACAAAAATGTCCAAATATTTTTTTTTTTATAAAAATACAGCAATAAATAAAATGAAAATATTTAATTTAAAAAAAAAAAAATCGATTATTTATTGTAATTAATACCCAATATAAAGAAACCAAAAACAAACAAACCAACAACAAAAATTTTGAATGAAATAAAATATTTAAAATTCAATAAGTGTTTTTAATGAACTGTTAAAAAAATCACACACACAAATGGCAACGACTTTAAAACAAAAGAAATTATGGCGGATTTCAATACTTAGTATATATACATTTTTTCATTCAATGAGATTTTAATACTTATTATTATTATTATTTTTTTTTTTTGGGGATGGAGAGAGAAATAAACCCATTGAAATTTTACACAAATATTTTTTTTGCGTATTATAAAAATTAATTCTCCCCTGATGCCACTCATCTTAATAACAATAATAAAATAAAAAAAGGGAGAGCAAAAAGAGAATAAGAGGACAAAAAAGTATTTAACATTAAGAAAACATAATAATAAATTTTTTAAGGAAAACAATGACCCATAAAATCTGGAAATAAAAACAAGGGAATGAACTTTGTTTTATATTTCAGTTTTTTTTGGAATAATTTGTGCTGACTTTGCAAGGATGAGTGAGGATAATAATAATCATAATAAGAGGCATGAGGCTTTTTTTCTTCGATTTCATTATTTGCAAATTGAGATTGAAATGAAAAAAGAAAACATTTTAAACCTCTAATGGAGCTGTCAAAAAATAATGCAGATTTTTTGGTTCGTTTGCAAAAATTTTGGTGAAGTGTTTCTTTTTGGGTAAATATACATGTGGGTGAGTATGAGTGTATTATGAGGTTGAGGGTATCCCCTTCTTCCCCCATAATGAAAAAAGGAAGGAAGTTAAATAAGTGTTAAAACTAATTATTATTAATAATAACATACATACATATTTGTAATTCACTTCCCATTTCAGTTGTATTATTTTTTTCACTCTTCCCTTCCTCTCCCTCTGCCTCTCAAGTTATTTAATATGTGCAAACACACGTACACCATATTTGTAATGCGTCATTAAATTCACACACAAAAAATCACCCTAACCTTTTCTTTCTTTTATTAATAAAAAAATTAAATGCATTTTTATTATCACCCACCCTGTCCCTATCCCACTTTCTGTAACCTTTTTCCTTCTCACTTGAATTGTTCCATGTACAAAATGTCTCATTTATTTAATTTGTATTTCATTATTTTTTGTTTGTTTTTTTTTTGTTTAAATCTGTAAGAAAGCATTATTAATTCATGAAAAAAATAATAATAGTTGTATTTTTATGCAGTGTTTATTTGTTAAATCAAACGATAATACTGTCAAATTCATAAAAATCACGTACAATGATTTTTATGATGACGATTTTTTAAAGGGGAAAAAATGTATTACTACGTTATACAGAGAGAGAGGGACACATTTTTAGTTTAATGCAGTTTTGAATGAAGGCGAATGTTTTTAAAACATCATCAGGTAAACATTTTTTTCGGATTTATATCGCAGTACAACGAAAATAAATATATAAACACAAATTTATTTAAAAACCCCTACCTTACTGGACCAAAAATATATTTTTGATTAAAAGGAGGTACAAAAAAATACTTCAGAAAAATATTCATTTGAACCAAATATATATATATATATATATATATTTTAATTCTACCGTTTAATTTTTTTAATACCCCTTTCTTAGTTTTCAAATCATCGAAAAATTGTTTTTTTTTAAGTTTTCATAGATTGTGTTATTAATTTTAATTGTGAGCCTAACAGTAGGCAATACTTATCGATATTTAAAAAAAAAAAATGTTTTTCCATTCACACTTAATTTGAAATTATAAAAAATAATTTCCATAAATTGAATGACAAAAAATTTAAGCCCCTAAAAATGTTTTTAAAAACATAACTGCGGCTTTGCTTGATGCCAAAAAATATAAAAATTGCAAAAAAGATATATTTTATAAAAAATCGAAGCTTTTGCTTGGACCTCAAAAAATCCAGGCATTTGCAGTACCACAAAATATATATTTTTTTAAATAAACGCCTTTCATAGACTCCAAAAAATACATTATTCCATATCAACAGTTTTAATTCACGCCTTTGAGGGAACTACACGAAAATACTTTTTAAATAAAAAATCCAACCCTAAAAATATGCTTTAAACAGATCCATGCTATTTCTGATTCCCCAAAATATTCTTTAAACAAAAAATTTAAAAAAACTCCTTTCATAGACTCCAAAAATATCCATTAATCCATATCAACATTTTTAATCCACGCCTGTGAAGGAACTACACGAAAATACTTTTTTAAAAGTCCAACCCCAAAAATATGCTTTTAAGAGATCCATGCTATTTCTGGTTCCCAAAAATATTCTTTAAACAGAACCACAATTCTTTTAACATCCAAAAAATTCTTTAAACAGATCCGCACCCTTTCTGTACCCCGAAAAATATTCTTTAAACAGATCCACGCCTTTGCTGACCACCCAAAAATACTTTAAAAAATACACGCCTTTTCTGGACTCCAAAAATATTCTGTAAACAATTCTGGAATGTGCTGAAATCGCAAAGAAATATTCTTTAAAAAATACACGCCTTTGTTGGAGGCTCAAAAAATATTTATCTAAAAAGTCTACGCCAATGCTGAACTGCAAAAATATTTTTTAATCTACGTCTAGGCTTTAAAAAAAATCCTGGGCCCAAAAAAAAAACAATTTTTTTTTAATCTTCCTCTTTGCTGGATCTTAAAAAAATTGGCTTTGGAAATCTGCTGTACCCGAAAAATTATTTCTGGACCCCAACAAATTTTTCCGTACCCAAAAAATATTTTTTTTAATCTACGTCTTTGCTGGATGTTAAAAAAATAGGCTTTAAAACATCTACGCCAATGCTGGACCCAATAAAAATATTTTTAAGAAAATTCATGCTTTTGTTGGAGCCTTAAAAAATAATTTTTAAAAAATCTACGCCAATGCTGGACCCGAAATAATATTTTTTAAAAAATCTACGCCAATTCTGGAGCCGAAAAAATATTTTTTAAAAAATTTACACCAATATTTTGAAATAATATACGTCAGTCCTGGACTCGCAAAAGTATTTTTTTAAAAAAATCCACACCAATATTCTGAAATAGTCTATGACAGTTGTGGGATCGTAAAAATATTTTTTAAAAAATCTACGCCTTAGCAGGACCCTAAAATAAATATTATTTAAATTATCTTTATGACTTAAAAAAATATTCTTTAAATAAAAACTCCACGCCATTGATGGAACACAAAAATAGTCTTTAAAAAATCCACATCTTTGATGGAGCACAACAAATATTTTTATATTAAGAATATCCAAACATTTGAGAACCCAAAAAAATGTTTTTTAAAATATCTAGATATTCAAAAATTGTCTTAAAAAATTCACTCTTTTGATGGAGCTTCAAAAAAATTTTTTTTTTGAAAAATCTACGCCTTTAATGGAGTCTCAAAAAATATTCTTTAAAATATATACGCCTTTTCTGGACCCCAAAAAATATTCTTTAAAAATTGTACGCCTTTCCTGGATCACAAAAATAGCCTTTAAAAAAATCTACACCATGGATGGACCCCAAAAAATATAGTTTTTTTTTTTAATCTACGCCTGTGCTGGAGCCTCAAAAATATTCTTAAAAAAATCCCAGATTTTGCTGGACATGAAAAACATATTTTTTAAAAAGATCCAAGCTGGACCCGAAACATATTTTTTAAAAAAATCCATGCCTTTTCTGGACCTTGAAAAAATATTCTTTAAAAAAAAACGCCTACGCTAAACTCATATATATATATATATATATATAAATAATCCGCTCTTTTTTGGGCACCTGAGAATATTCTTTAAAAAACTCACGCTTTTACAAGCCCCCAAAAAATTTTATTTTTCAAAATCCTCGACTTTTGCTGGATCCTCCAAAAAATATTCTTTAAAAATTCACACCATTGTTAATTAAAATATTTGTAAAATTTTCAGTTTTCTTAAAATTTTCAAAATTATTTTTTTAAAAACATTCTTTCAACAGCCAAATTTATTTATTTCCCAAAAAAAAAATTATTTGCCTAATAACTTACTCCTTCCCCACTTTTCAATTTCAATATTATTTTTAATAGCACGTCTCTGCTCTCATTCACTTAACTTTAATTTAGATGTCTCAATGGTGTTATAGATTTTTGTTATTAGCAAATGCCATTAACCGAATGGTGTGATTTCTTATGAACATTATAAATATATTTATTTTTTATTTATTTTTTGCTTTGGTACCCTTTAATTCATTCAAATCATATTTCCTCTAGCACCTTCCCTTAGTTTTGTTTTCGGCATAATCAGGCCATCCCCACCCCTCATCTTCACCGCACACTTTATTAAAGTTCGAGCAAAATGAATTGAATATAGGGAACACATATATGGTAGAGAATTGCCGTGTTAATTTCATAGGAAACAGGCAGGCAAGCAGATGGATGGATGGCTGAATTGAAAGAATACGAATAAGAATAAGTAGAAATGGCAGAATTACATTAAGCAATCAAAATAATCATAATCACTTCACTAAAAATAAATTTGATTCTTAATTTTTTTTTTATTTTTTCGTTCGTTCATTCGATTTTTTTTTGAAGTGGAGTAATACATCTTAAGACAACAAATCAAAAAAACACTCCAGAATAATGTGCACACACACACATACACACTCACTCATTCTCACATACACACATCATATGGCCCATAACAATTTACCAAATACCATCTGGAGCCAGTGGACAAACAATTCAAAAGATATATAAATGTCTAGGATGAAGTGTGGTAGAATGTGTATGGGAAAGATGAGGGAAAACTTACTCATTGCCGGGATCATGGAACAAATGTTGTGGACCAGCAAAAACAAAATTATAAACATTATATGCACAA